TATATATATATATATATATATATATATATATATATATATATACTATACAGAAGACCTCCTTCTTCTTCTCCTCCTCCAAAGTATCTCCAAGAGCAGTTAAAAAAGGAGACCCCGATAAAGAGTAGCACTTAAGGTGATTGCAAATGGCAGAGATTAATTATAATTAATTAACGCTTTCATTACCATTATCATCGAAGCTGTTAGTCAATCGCAATTATATTACACGTGTTTTTTGATACAGAGTTAATTTTTAAAATAAAAGACTCACGTAATCCAACTCGAGATTCCAGCTTTGCTTTATTAATTGATTCCGTGAAGTCTTACTCTCTAGATGTACTTACATAATCCTCGTTAAAGTTAACATTCACCAATTAATTAAGCTGGTGCCTGAATTTGTAAACGGAATATTCATTGTTTTATTATACGGTGAAGTCCGTATCGATTTGAATTAATTTTCAATTTTATACGTAACACCAGTCTAAGCTTTACCGTGTGAAACAACAATCGAGTTGTGTGTGTATGCATATGTGGATATTATTAATCGTCTATCTGCAGACTGCGCAAATCTCACACAATTGGATTGTATAGTTTTCTTTTTCGATTTGCAATCACCTTTCTATTGTAATAAAACCTTATTGTTGATATTCTATTCATTAGCGGCTTTTGTAAACGCTTCCAAAAGTCCGAAATTTATTGACCAAAAATATTTTTTTCAAATTTATTTGCTAAATTAATTTTTATACAATCAAAGCTTAAGAATAATTAAATTGTATAATTTTTCAAAATTTATATCAGAAATTTTAGGGACAATTTTTGATCGACAAAAATTTTATGATATCATTAAAAGAGTTAAATACAATTATAAATTGTTTTTAAAAATTTTCATCTTTATTATCATCGTAAAAAAAATGTTTCATGTTAACATTTGTTTCATATTAATTTGTTGATTTTTTTTATGAGAAAATTTTCATTCTTTTAGATTAAAGTTGGTCATCAAACTCAACGATTGGTTCTTGAACTTTCATATTTTTCAAATACTATTTAAAAAAAAATAACATTAATAATAAATTGAACACGTTTCATCGACATTGTAAGAAGAAGAAAAGGAAAAAAAATTTGGATCTTGGGCTCGGTAGCGCAGCATTACTTATACACGCGTCATTACAGAAATACACTTTACTTGGTACCTTTTGTTTCGAACATATACTCTCAGTAGTAGTTTCAACCTGATGGGTAAATATATATAGGCTTGTGTACAAACATATATCCGGGTATATAGCCGTAGTAATGTGAAAATGTCCTCACTCTTCACATACTGTTTCCCGGTAATAGTATTAGGTAGGTACGAAAAATGAAGGTGATGCACGAAATAAGGGTGAGAGCCAAGATCCAAGTTGCGATGAGCAAGCGAGAGGGAGCAAGAAATGTTAGCGAGAAAACTCGGTGAAAGAAAAATAAAAAAGATAAAGTTAAATAGAAAAAAGTTTAGCAGAACGACGTTTTTCGCTTGGCATGCCATTGTATCAGGAAGCCGATGCAATCGCCATTATTTGTTCAGACTCCCAGTACTTACGTTAAGGTCATTTTCGCGTCGCTTACCATACAGCTTAAAGTTGGGTGTACTTGCATTACATTACGTAAATATATATTTCAGTTGTTATTGATGTTGTTACTGTTATCTTTTCTCAGTCTTTAGATTATCTTTCTTGGGACGATACCATTATTATTGTTATTGCTTTAATGTTTTTCCAAAATATGTAAATGTATAGTTTTTTTTTTTCAATGAATATTCAATACTTTGAAACTATTTAACAATATTTTATGAGTAAACAACCCCCGGTCTTTTCAAACTGAATTTATAAAAAAAATAATGGAGCTCAGTGAGGGATTCGTACTCATACCTCCCGATATCGTATCAGTAGTTCATATAATTTCAAAAAGAGTAATCAAATCAAGTATTAAATTAACAGAAAATATAATAATTCTGAAAATTTCACTCAATGTGAATTGATAAAAATTTTCGTTTCTGTCGAAATCATTAAAAATTTTCATAAAACAGAACATTATATTGAACTTCCTAATTGACACTTTATCGTAAGATAGACAGTGATTTTAGTCGCTTGATGAATCTTACTCATAAGATCATGTTTCGAATAGCTTAACTGGAAGATCTTTTGACACGTAACCAAAGGATTCGGATTCAATTCCCGATTCGGCTGAATTATTTTTAAGGTACCGAAAATTGTCTATTAAAACAATCTACTCGAGTATTATTAGATTATTACTTTACAGAAGCAAAAGCTTAACATTATATCAAAAGTTGTAAAAATTATCATAAAATAGAATATTATCTATTAGCTATAATATTAAGTATGCTTAAAGCTTACTTAAACCAAGACAGTTTTTTTCGTGCAAGAACTTTTTTTATTTAATCCAAAAATCTTCAAAATAATTTTTTCGGTTCAAGAAGTTTGCTTTTTAGTCAAATTTATTTTTCTTTATTGCAGTAATTATCATGTTATTTCTGCTGTTATTATTGTTTGAAATATTTTAATCCTCACAAAAAACTACATAAAATTTATATTTTCCAAATCCTCATCCGCTATAATATATACTAAATCTTTCATTTCACGTTTATCCGAACAATAATAAACATATTATAAAAAACTAATAATAAATAACTATAACCACAACTCGTGTAAAAAATGTATTGCACAAAGATTTATTCTCAAAGTAAGTCAAGATTAAACCTTTAAATTCCGTGCCTTCGATTTTATAGCAAGAGGGAAAAAGGTAAAAAAAAAAAAAGAATAGAAAAAAGAGTCGGTGGAGCGGCGTCGCTGCTTCTCGTAACTTGCTTATTGAAAGTAAATTTAATAAAGGTCTATAAGAGCGTCGAAGAAGACGGTCTTACTTTCCATCGAACTGAACCTAGCAGAGCAGAGAGCACAAGGCTAACAGCTTTGACGTTGGTATACAAACCACGGTACCATCTCTGTCGACGACTGTTGGTAATCAAATTCAATCTCGTAGCTTATCATATTATTCAATGTCGCTATTACTTCCGCATACTTATAAAAACATAAATGAAATTGTTGCTCGTCATGTCTTTCATCTATATATTCATTCATTCATTTTTAATATAAACATAAATAAAAAAAAAACGTATTTATGAATTTCTGGTTACAGAGGCTCATCGGGCGTTGGAGTTGCTGGAGGATTATCATGCAAAGCTAACGAGACCGCAGGATAAACAGCTGCGGCTTGCTATTGAGCGTGTCATCAGGATTTTCAAGAGCAAACTCTTCCAGGCTCTTTTGGGTAAGTTTTATTCATCCACTTGGCTTATATTTACTCGGTACACATAATACACTTTAACGGAGACTTTCCTCGTCGAGTTAACACACAACCAAGAGTTTAATGTTTAATTCAATGTTTGCTGTTAAATTAACTTGGGTAGTATAGTATAGTATTATATGAACAACAACAAACACTCTTGAATAACTATTTATCTGTAATTACAGTGTTGCTTGCAAAAGTACATGCCATGTGAGCTTTAGTGCACATTGCCTTGTGTTTAAGCTTGATAACAAGCAACAGGAGATATTAGATTATGTGTTTTAGCTCCATCGTCTCTTTATACATATACCTACCGAGATGATTTTACAAATTATCACTTTCGAGTACAATATAAGTAGCTTGGCTGGTTATTGTTTTCAATTGATTACTGCAATTAGCTAAATTTGATTGTGCTGAATTGTGGAGAGCGTGATACTTCAGTTGCTTTATGCAAATATACATTATGAACCATTATGTAATATTATATATTATACATTTGGTCGGTAAATTGATACAGAAATGCTCTACATTGCACATGTAGCAGTAATGATCACAAATGAATAAACTTGTAAGGGGTCAAGAGGGTACCCAAGTGGAATTGTTGCCAATTCATTGGTTGGCTTTTCAAATGTGCATCGAGAAATGATGTATATAACTTTACTTTAATGGGATTTTATGTGAATATATGGATCAGTTCGTACCGAATCATTATTTTTTTTTTTCGATTTGGTTCAGTTTTTTTTGCCCATTAGGGAGACTTTGTTGTAAAGTTTTAAGAACATGGGGAATTTATAAATTCATGAGAAGTTATTATCTGCTTACTATATTTCTAGACTAGCATTTATCCATTGAACGTGGTTATAAAAAATTCAAATTAAATTTTCAATGTACGAATTTTATTGTTAAATAAAATATTAAGCTTGAAATTTTATTGAGATATTAAAATAAGAGCTTCACATATAAAAAATTAATGGGAAATAATAAAAAATTTACGGTTTAGTGACATAAATAAATCAAATTTAGTTTTATATCTAACAATTGTTAATTGATTTTTATAAAACTTGTAATGTTAGTAGTGAATACAGCTTGATCTAAATGTTAAAATTTTGGCCTCTTCAACTTTTTAACTAACTTCCCGTTAATTTCTGCCTGAAGAATTGCACGACTTATGATGCGAAGCATCAGAGAGTGCTTTACAATCGAAAAATTTTTTTCGCCTCATTTCGGCAAATATTTTTATTATTATAGCCTTGTTAGTTCACGGAATCAAGATATTTTGCATACTATTGTCAAGATTATTTAATGGAGATTAATTTGACACTTTTCAAAAATTGATTTAGTGCAATAGAAACGGTAAAAAATCTCAAAATAGGTCAAAAAATTTTCCTGTCCGTCATGTATGAAACTCCGGAAACACTGTAACTTGCGAAAAAATGCATTAATTGAGTTAATTTTTTTTTTTTAATTCTTCGAAAGAATTGTAGGTCACCGAATGCGAATAGCTAGATAATTTAGTGTCGTTTATTTACAATTAATAAAATAAAACAAAAATCAGAAGACCGTATATCTATATATATTGTGTACATTTATCCCACTAGAGGCGCTTGCGCATTATCGTGCTATTTTAGCTGTTTTATATATTTTTTTTCACATTCTTTATTTTATTAATATTTTATAATTAAATGAGGATTATGAGTCTTGCACTTTTGGATTTTCCAAACTTTTTTTTCTCTATTGAAGTATTGAAAGCAGCTAAGGCTGTAAGAATGTTAACGAGAAACATAGAAATCAAATGACATTATGTGTGTATATTAATATACATTTGCTTTGGTAATTACAGTACTCAGTCTATAATATTTCCTAGAAATATTTATGGTTTTGAGTCGATTGCTGCATTTAAATTATTTTGTTTAGATTATTTTGTTACATACAGTTTACATACAGGAATAATAGTGTAAACCAAACAAACTTTGGTATTTTTTACGTTAGATCGAGTTTTTCGTTAAATTGAGTTTCGCTATATAGAGTTTCCACTATATCTTTAAAAATAATTAGATTTAAAAAGTCTTCAGTGAAGTGTGTTATTAAATGATAATTGCTTTGATACAGAATTTAGTTTTTCGTTTGGATTTTGACGAGCTATTTTTGAGAAAAAATTTTAATTTTTAATGATGTAGAATGAAAACATAGTATATTATCGATTTATAAACATACGATTTTTCGCTTTAATTGTCAAAAAGCTGCAGCAATCTAAAATGAAAAAAAAAAAAAAAAAAAAAAAAAAAAACTGGAACATCTTTGTCAAACGCTTTGTAAAATTATAAAAAATAAAGTTCAGAATTGAATGCGTTGAAGTCTTTAGAGACTGTTGCTTGCACATAAATAAAATAATATAAAGATAAGAATAATAATTATTATCATTGTAAAGATTGTGGTACGAATCTTCTTTATAATAAAACATGAAGCTCCGCGTCTTGTAGGTTTCGTTTTATATTATTGTCAATGGTAAAAAAAAAACAATACCGACAGAATTTCTGCTGTTATAAGTACGAAGACTCATTATTGTTCTGCTGCTCTGTCAAAGATTAATCTTTTTCTGCGAGTCTTTTGTTTCAAAATATATGTAGAGTTGGAAAAGGCTGTTGATCTTACAAACATTTTAAATATCGTCGACTTTGTGTTTTACTCGTGACAAAAATAATAATAATAATAATAATAATAATAATAATAATAATAATAATAATAATAATAATAATAAATAACTATTAGCAGTTGTGATTAATGGATAATTAATTCCGTCATTTACAACATGATTTATAATGGAAATAAATATTTAATACCAATATATTATAGTGAAATGAAAAATGATATTTTTTAATGCAATATACAAGATAAATGAACATAATCTTATACTCGTTTATTTTTATGGGATTTAGTTTATTTTTCATAATACGAATCAGTAATAACACAAGATCTCATTTATTACATCAAATATTTTTTAGCATAAGAAAAGTCGGAGATGCTTAATATTAATCAATACATTTCGACTGACAGGTATATTTACACAGAAATATGATATTTGATGATTTTTGTAAGAAGTTTTATCTTTTTTATGATTTTATTAAGTTCTGTTACAGAAATACAAAAATTAGATTATGCTTTTAACAAAAAATCAGAAAATAGATTACAAAAAGATTATTAAAAAATTGATCTTAAAATTTTCTAAATACTAATTATTGAAAATTCCCTTGAATAAGTGAGTATTTACTAATTTTCAATGTGAATGAAATCAGTGATTCGGTTTTCACTTGAAGTAAGTAAATATCCACTTATTAAAGAGAATTTCCAGTAATTCATAAAATGAGAAAAAAACGATCAAAATTTTTCTTTGTTTAAATAAATTTTTCTTGATTGAAAATTTTTTTTTCTTGCAAGTTAACTTTATATTCCAGCGGCATACTTTATTAAAATTAATTAGAATAAAATATATATGATCTAATGTATATATATATATATATATATATATATATATATATATATATATATATATATATA